CGCATTTCGATTGTAGACCCCTGCCGGTCAATGATGCCGCTCGGCCGGTGTTTGTAAGCGCTCGTTCGGCATCTTTCGATTGTATACTGCTCGGCCGGTTGATTGGTGGCCGCTGAACCGGTGATTGTGCCCGTCCGCCCGGTGATTCCAGATTGCAGGAAGCCCGCCCTGACAGAGTGCGCTCGGTCGGCGAATGCGGCCGCTTGTCCGGGACTCCTATGGTGGAGCGCCGCTCGTCCGGTACTTTTGTCTGAGTTGCTTGCCTTGTTGTATTCGCTGTTTTTGAATCCTATTGGGCGGCGGGTATCATCGTGCAAATAAGACCCCTGCATTACTCTGAAGGCCACTTGCTTACTGGGCGGCTTCTAGTCATCTGTCTTTTCTGGTATACAGTTCGCTGTGGCAGAGAGAAGGTTTCTCATTCCATAAACGTTTTTTGTTTTGTTACTCAGAGTAGTGCTTTCTTTTGCAAAAGCTTGCGCATATTGTTTTCTTTTCATGAACGTGCGGAATGGTCATTTTTTGTTGTCTTTGTTTTTGTGCAACCCTCATCCCTCATCCCAGCTTGTATAAGCTCCTGCAAGACGAAGGCGGTTGGTCGAGGTGCGACGTGGCTGTGACGCTGTTGTGACGCAGCCATGTCGCAGCCGCGTTGCACATCGAACCGACCGCCTTCGTCTTGCAGGAGCTTATACTAGGAGACGTCGGAATAATTGTGCGAACTCATGAGGGAGTTCGTTTCAGAACTCCCCTGGGATTCTGAAGATAGCAAGTGCACTGAGAACTCTTGAGATAGAGGCGATAGGGCAGTACACGGAGTGTACTGCCCTATCGACTCTATCTTAAGAGTTCTCAGTACACTTCCTATTCCGTGATCACTCGTCCTCATTTCAATAGCCTTTTCCCCAATCTACTAATTGCAGTAAAAAGACCGGTTTTTATTAGAGCCACTACTACAAATAGAATAGCACTATCGCGCCATAAAGAAGCACAAATATACTTCTATGACGTAAAAGAGAGAGATAGATAGATATAATTATTTACAAGTAAAAACAAGTCTTCTGCACATTTTTATAAGACATTTAGGTGATCAAAAATTCGCGACCCGTTCTCAGGGGGGGGAGAGGGCACGCCACTGCCATACATCTATCGTAGTTCCGCTGTATGCCGCCGCAGTGATAAAAGAGTGGTGAATTCGTAAACAGCGCATCGAATCACCCTGCTACACCAATTTTCATCATTTTCGTGATTTTCGCCTAGTTACGGTATACCTGTCGTGACCTCGCTATGTGGACACTTAGCCGCAAATGGATACCGTATTCGTAATCAGCGCTCCAAAACTCTACAAATTCAACTTTCCATCAATTTCGTAATCCTTGCAATTCTCACCAGCCACCGTGTACCTGCCGTAACCTTGAAAAATGAATATGCCACAGACAAAAACCGTATTTGTGAAGTGTGCCGAATAACACCCCGGCCCAAAATTTTGCACAATCTCAAGGTTTTGTAAAATTTTGAAATGCACCACAATACCTCTCATGCTTGCTGGAACTACAAGCAAGTATCCTGTAGGACTTTTTAGCTGCTCCTTTTCATCTGCAACTAATTTTCTTCCTAACCAAATTCGGAGTTAGTCTGAATTTCGCGGAGCCTGAAACGCCCAGCCCGAACTCAGACCGCAGAGCTTAGCTGCGCGTTTCATCCCGTAGCTTCTTGTGTGGAGAGAGTACGCTACGTTTCCGAACTTGGAATGAAGTACCTCTTACGGAGAATCCTGCCATATCATCCTTTCCCTCATTTGGTTTTTATATACACTATTGAAAGTATTTGAAAATTTCGCGTTACCTTGGAGGTAATTATGACTTAACTCTGACAAGGGAAGTGACATGGGTCAAAGTGGCTTTTTAATATGAAATGTATACTATCTTATGGAACATGAAGCGCTGATTCCAAATTCGCTTGTGTTATCTGCAAAGCAATTCTGGGAGGGAGGTTATGGGGATTTTTTGGAGCAAAAACTTGAGCGCGACACTACAATGAAACCATTTAGCACTGTATCCGTGAGCTCAAGTAAACCATGATTACTTCTAGGGCCTTTATGCAGTAATACCTTCAATCTAATAAACTTATGCTAGTCATCACCGCTTTCAAGCGCCGAAAAGATCTCAACACCTGTTCTTACCTTAGCTAAACCCTCGAATTTTTGCCTCAGGAAATTCATTCCGTCCACAAGAGCGCTTTGCCTACTCTAAAAGCAGATTTGGAATTAGCGTTCCACGCTCTGTAAGGCAGTGTAATTTCATATGGGAATCACTTCAAAAAATGAATCTATGAATTTCAGCTGCGCATTTCGATAAGATTATCATAACCCTGTCTTTCCGGTTCCCACCTACCCTCACGATTGTCTGAGAAATTCCAAAAGTGCAATTTTTGGAATTGCGCTGCGGGGCAAAAACATGTTAAGCGGTAGTTCATCAGTCTTTTAGTTGATTGCTTCAGACTAAAGCTATGATAGCTTGTGTTCAACTTTCTATTGTATGGCTAATGATGGGGAAGGCCAACTACTAAAATTTCACAAAGCGAGGCGCACCTTTCTCTTCTTCAATGCTAGCAGCTCCGCGGTTTCCTGTGCCTCTCGAAATTGCTATACTGCGCTCTCAGGTAATGCGCAACACAGTCGCAGACGAGCGCAAGACTCTCGGGGCAAACTCAATCTCTAAAATTCCGGGAAGGGGGGTACACTTCTATTGGTGCTGCCAGGTAGGGCGGAGCCAGGTAGGGCGGGGCACACTCACAGGGCTCGATGAGAGCATTCGCCCCGTAGGAGAAGATTTTAGAAGTTCAGTTTTTCCCCGAAAGTCGTTTGCGATTGTCTGAGGTCCTCAAGCTGCTCTAAATCTTTTGTCGTACTTAGACTGCTTGACTTTCAAAAAAAAACCCTGCGAACTTTACGTGAAATTAGGGTAAGTTGAGGTGAACATTTGAGAATCTTGAGTTAGTCAAGCACGAGACTAAGAGAGATCGAAAAAAAATCATTTTTGAGAATCACTTTGACGAACCGTGATTATGCGCCCTCGCAGTGCAATATACAAGGAGGCGCGCATAAATTCTGACGCCAAGAAATGCCCATGACTCTACACCAAACAGTTCGATCTCAAACAATTACTTCGATTTCAAACAATTACTATCTTCTACCTAAAAAATCTTTCTTAAACTTGCCAATCACACTTAGAAATGTTCACCTCTGCTTTGATACGGACATTTGATCTCTCACGCGAATGCTCAAGAACGCGAGCGATCGTCTCAATAGTCGCCCCAATAAAACTTGATTTGACAACTTTTTGGTAAAGGAATTCAGCCATTTTGAACCAGAAACCGTTGTTGGCTTTCCCTCAGGTCTTTACTGATGCAAAAAAAAAACACTCGAGTCTCGCATTTTTTTATTTTTCTGTAACAAAAATGCCATAACTCCTTGTTTTATTTAACACCTCAACAACCTTTGACATGATTATAACAAGACCACATGAAGAGAACACATGAACCCCCTCAAGTGTCAGAGTTTTTTTTACAAGCAAATAACGATGGCACAAACATGGAATAGTAGAAACTAACAGTACAGGTGTTTATACTTTGCGCCTGATGTACTAGACTCCTTGTGTATTGTTGTGTTTGCCATGGCGTGTGAAGGAAGAACGATTTGAGACCGAGTTCTTTACTTGACGACAAGGAACTAAGAATGAACTATACTTACAAAGAATGCCTATATATAGTACACACAACTATATCACATATCATAAACAACAGATCAACATCTTTGTTCATTCTTCTCAAACGGTGGCTTCTTGTGCGGTTGCACAACACCTCCCCTTCTAAGTGAAAGGTGGGTCTTTCCCGCGCTGAGGACTGAGTTGATATTTCATCCTCTTACGCCGCACACTATGTTTCTCGTCAGCCGAGTACAGTGGACCTGGAGCGATGTGAACTTCATATTTAGTGAACATCTCACCAAAAGAGAAGTCATCCAAAGTTGGACTTGATATATCGCGACAGTGCATCGGGAACTGCATTGCGGCTGACGTCTCCTCCCTTTTCGGCTTGAATATCAGGCACTGGAAGTTGTCGACGATTCTCTCGGGCTCTTCATTGAACTGCTGATGACGAGTATGTCGAACTTGTCGGGTTTTTCCAGAATCGCGAAATTCGGCTCTTCTGAATTGAGTAATATCATAAAAAACAGGTACCTCCACATTTCCATATTGAGTGGACTCTGAATGAGTTTTGCCGAATATTTTGCTTCCATCCTCTTTTTCGAGCGCAAAGGCAGCCGTTGCTTTCGTACCGTCTTCTGTTTTGGGTTGAAACACTTCTGCGAACTGTGTTGTCAGGTGAGTTTGCTTCTTGTCGAGTGTATCGTTCGTAGCGGTCACTGCATTCAAATTCTGACAGCCGATATCAATGTGAAAGGCACAGTCGCTCTGGTTTCAATGCACTTCAAGTAGAGCTGGTCCATCAAGTAAGTTTGTGGTACCATTCAAGGCAATGCCATTTAGCGCATGCTCACATGTGCCGTGTCCATGGCATGTAATGCTGGTCCCATTAGCAGCAGTCGAATTATGTTCTGGGTTCTTTAGTTTGTGTCGGCCAGTCTTGATCCATGTGTCGCGATCTTCAACTCCACAGTCAAGTCGTAACTCGATACTTGTGTTCTTGGTTTTCACATTGCAGTGCGACTTCGTTTCTTTAGACGGTGAGATGAAGACAGGACGGACGTCCTTGGCTTCATCGACAAATAGTTTACGCAGACAGTACCTCTCTAGATGTCCACGCTTCTTGCAGTAGTTGCATTCAGTGATCGGCTTCTCGCACTTCCCGGTCCTATGGGTCTTCGCTCCGCAGTTCATACAAAGATGTGTTCTGGGCTTGTGACCGATGGGCTTCCGCTTCTCGTCTCGCTGCATCGCGTTGACTTGCGGGTTCTCATTCATCTGATTCACGCTGACCTGAGGTACCTTGGCTTTGTCGATCATCTGTATGTGATTCTGCAGTTCCAAGTAGTCTTTGTACTCTTCGTTGGATTCTTGCTTCATCAGTTCAGCTATGGGTTCTCGACAAGACTTCCATAATTCCATGAGCTTCATTAGAAAGTGGATCGTGTCCGTGTTCGGGTTCGGGTTCTGATCGAATTCTGGTAGACGAGTAGCGAGTGCATTCATCACGTAATCCTCGCTGGATCCTTGTTTCTTCTTTACTTCTTTCCGCAGCTCCATGATTTGCAGCATCAGAAGGTGGGTTGGGTCCATGTTGGGGGTCGGGTTCGGGTTCTGATCGCCAGTTGTTGTGTTTGCCATGGCGTGTGAAGGAAGAACGATTTGAGACCTTTACTTGACGACAAGGAACTAAGAATGAACTATACTTACTAAAGAATGCCTATATATAGTACACACAACTATATCACATATCATAAACAACAGATTAACATATTTGTTCATTCTTCTCAAATGCTGGCTTCTTGTGCGGTTGCACAACATGTATAGAACTCAATCCATTGGATTAAAGTCAATGCCATAATGTCTCACCAATACAACAGCATACTTTGAGATTACTACACAGACTACTACTACATACTTTGTCAGAGTGCACTCACTATATCCAGATTCGCTTAAGTTTATTCTAACAGATCACATGTTTTGGATACCGAGTACAGAGAGTATAGAGCAATGAGGATTGCCTTTGAACTACGCATGTACCAATCGTGAGCTCAAGCTTGCTCTTTACTATCTTCAACGTTATGCATTCAATAACTGCGTAATCAGATTGGAATGGCAGAGCACCCGCGCTCCAAGGGAAGAAGTTTTTACCACTAGACAGGAACACTTACGTTATCAGAAGGGTGAATGGTTTTGAAATCAACACTAGCGGTAATATGTACAATATGGTCATTGTTTGCTTTGATTGTCATAATTACTTTCTTATTTCCCAAAAGCGCTTTATCAGAGCACAAGAGCGTTCTGACACTGACACTTAGCTTCCAATAATCTGTAATCCAAGTTCTCTCCGTAGGTGCAACCATTGCTTTGCATGTCACTAGCGCTTTACTTGCTCCTTGATCGAAGCTTTTGCAAAGTTTCACCTCAGTCTCTGTTCCATGTTCAAAAGCAGCAAGTCGGCTGCGCCGCGGTGACACAGTCTGTTTCCGACAGCTCTCCATAAGTATCCCTGGCGCTTATACGCGGCGCGGGCTGCCTTAGAAACGTCAAAGAGCACACTAGAAAGATTCTGGGCCTTAAAATCGCTCATTCTTTCTACTCAGTAAACGGTTAATACACCAGTAGTTGAGGTAAAGATCTAGAATTCTTTTATAGTTCTTTATAGGGTGCGGAAAAGGTTCTGTTCAAGAAGAAGTTCCAAAAATTGGCATGATTTTTAGGTTTTTTTAAATACAATAAACGTGAATCCCAGATGAAAATTCATTTTAGCATTTTACAAAAATTCGCCCACAAAACTCTTTACTTTCACCCGGCGGCCGATCTTACCCGGTGCATATCAATTTTTACCGCTCTTCTGTAGGTATGAAAATCTTCCAGAAAGTCTCTTTCCAACCAGAATTTGAGAAATTTCTACTGCTAGAGTAAGATAGCAGCGGCTGCGAAGTATCCTTAAACAGCCCGCAGTTGCACTGGGAAAAATTGCGAATTCCTTTAAGAAAAAACTGTTGCGGCAACAGTTAGATGAGAAAAAGTGGCCCACAAAGTACAAGCAATCGTTTACTGACCCAAAATTATGACGTGGACAAGTTGTGTTTTCTTTTCCCTTTTTGAAAAACTTTTTGCTGAAATGAAGCATGATTTGGATCCAGTTCATTAAGCAAGAGAGATCAGGCTAGCCTATTTTCGAGAGTTTTGCCATGAGGTGGCGCTGCAACCTGTCTGGCCAGAATAAAACTTCACTATCTATAATAAACATAGAATATTGGAGACGAGGTTATGTGCTACATACTTCTCCAGAACCCTATGAAACTGCTGATGGTATATATAAGGTCCAAAATCGAGCTCAAATGCTGCGGCGCAAATGTTTCTTTTCGCTGTTGTCACTCGTTTGAATGGACAGAAGAAGATCGTTCCAAATCAAACTTAGATAAATCTAACCTCCAAAGTCTCCCTAAATTCCTTCAATTGTGAAATCTACTAAGAGGCAGACTAGAGGGACAGTGCTATTCGCGCTTTATAATGTCGGAGTCTTCTTAGTCAAGTGACTACAATCCTAAATGTTTGTTGAATATTTTCAGCTCTTGCTGTACTGGTTAAAAGCTGAATCTAGCCTCGCTTTTACTTAAGAATTTAAGAATTTTCAGCAAACCAGTGTATGCCGATGAAAAACAGAACACGGGGTACGCACTAACCCTGTATGTAGAGCACCACATATGCAGAGAAGGAATTGTAGATAGCAAAGAGCGAAGTAAAAGAATAATTGGATTGAGGAGGAACTTCAAGACATTTCAAGCCTGCTTTGCGTATGTATCACGAAGATGTGAAGCTGATCGAGACCCACTCAGCTACGGGAAATTGAAACACAGACTTACTTCTTGGAATAACTCGCCAATTTTTCCTAGATATGAATGAAAGTGTTAGATTTTGATTGCATTTTAGGGAATGACAAATCTGAATCAGAACTGGACGTTGTAAGCCTATTTCAGCAGACATGCCGAATCCCCCAACGTCTGTCGAAAACGTGTCTGTGTCAGCGATCCTCGCACTGGTAAGCCGGAATTATACGGGTTAGAACAAAAAGTTGTTTTAGCTTTTTCTACGTTTCTCCGCTCTCTAAAACTTGAAGGCAATATCCAGGTCTGGGAAGTATGGATTTTGGCCTGGAAATTGGTGAGGGTACCATAAACGCCTTAACGGCAGCGAAAATGAAATCTTCACAGGTGAGAAATCCATCCTCAAACACTCCGCACCTGTGCCGTGACCGCAACCCAGTGGCTGAAGGGTCCTAGCACGGACGCAATGTTGAAGGCAGTGTCTCACCGAAATTTGGTTGTCGAGATTTTTGCATATTGCAAGCCTTTTCGTCCCTGTCGAACTTAATGCTGGTCCAAAATCGCATAAATGCACATAAACCCGGTTTTTCAAAAGCCGCGTGCAAGCAATGCGGACGAGTTGTGCCTTCTCATGCTAGCCTTCGCCGCAATGGCAGTGACACCATGGAGGTGAACGCCAAGTGGAGGAACATGTTGAAACCCGTAAGGGGGAAACCAGAAGCGTCGGCCTTGCGCCCAAATCGCGCATCGCGGGCTAATTTGAGAGAAAAACTCTCGGCGTAGAAAGGCCCGGATCGAGTCTGACTTGAGGCGATCACCTATCCAGGGGTTTCTCTAACGAAACATGTGGAGACCCCACCACCTCAATTTTGGTCAGACTTCAAAGTGAGCGCGGTCATTTCCGAGTTACCTTCACGGCGCAGGACTGAGGAATGTGGATGTGGATTTTTATCAGCCGTGAATGGACGATTTGCGCTGCCGTTTTATCAGTGCCTTAGTTAGGAGCACCTCATCAGTTTCCAAGCGAGAAACCTATGTGCTCAAATTTGCCTCGACACTGCCTTTAAATCACATTATTCAGTGAGTGCAAACTCCTTTGGGTAGTGCGATTCCCTTTCACTCACTGGTTAGTGTGATTTGAAGGTGCCGGTAAGGTATGCCGTAACCGAGACAAGACGATTAAGAGGCAATTCATATCAAGTATTAAGTGTTCTCAATTTCATTTCCTCACATATTTTATGTTTGGGTGTCCCACAATTTTTCACCTTTTTTCCATTTTTACCCTGAAAATCAGCATCTCGAGAACTGGGGCACCTATAAAGTTTACAAAAACTTGGTCGTACTTTTCTGTATGTATGAGTTATATAATCACCTGCGTGAGAGGAGCTCAGGACGAGGGGCGGAGTTTGCCATTTCACCCCAATCAATTTTTTCTTTTTCTAGCCATGGGAAAAACACGGAAATTGTACAATTGAATGTTCGATGCGTCAAGCATATGCTAGGATAAAAGGATTTTCAACATTTTTTGGGACGGAGATATGATTTTTGACGGAGAAATTCGTTTTTGACAGCTATCAGATTTCAGCTTAAAACTTCACGTGGAAAACGATTTGTTCAAACCCTTGAGAGCCATTTTGTAGAGCTTGCTTTGCTCTGTCGAATGAATACTCAAGCCACATCAATTGAAGGAAAGATATGGAAAGACGATGGTTGGAGTAAAAACGGTAAAAAATTATGCAACGCCCTAATAAACGAAGTGTAATGACGCTCAGCTCGTAAAAGAAAGGTTCCTAGGGCTACTGTTGCCATTCAGCTCAGAAACTTGCTTATCTTTTGAAGCTGAAATTTTGTGAAAGGCCGAGGTGCGCAAAGTCTTCATTATGATTTATAGTGTCAAATCGTTGCTATAGTTATTTGCTACTTGATTGATGTGTCCATGTTTATGATCTGCGAGCATTATGCTGAACAAGGAAGTAGTGGCGGTCCCAGGATTTCTTCCAGGCCCATGACTTCGAAATTATACATAAAGTGGGCGCGCTGTCCCCCCTCCCCTCCGAAAATTTTTTACGAGGCTAATTATGGGTTTTTGAAAAATTCAGAAATTATTCTACTTATGGAAAAGTATTAGGTCGGTGAAAAGATTTTCAGTTTTTTGAAATGACCTAAATCACGTACAATAAAGATAAACAAACATTTCAAGCTGTCTCCGATGCAGAATTTCTTCCTCTTTCCAGCCCTGTATCTCCCAAGATGACTTGCAAAGAGAGTGCTGAGATAATTGCTGGAAATTACAACTCTTCGTTTTCACCATGTCCAACTTTCGCTAATTTTCAGAACTTTTACTCGGGACTTTCGGGGAAACTGTTAGCCAGCAGACGAGGCAAACCTTTTGGCAATTGATATAATTAGTTTTGAATTGTCTTTTAGAATTTCTACAATGTATATTTTTCAAGGAAACCGAATTTTATATTCGGTCTAATCTATCTTCGTAGAAGTTTGAAACGGTAATCAGTTCAGGTACCATTTGATGCAACTATTTCTCCTCTTCCTAAAAGTTGTCTTTTCTTGGAATAACGCGAAAATTTGAGGGAAAACGCAGTACTTCTAAATTTCACGAGTGCGCACTGATGTACCCCAGTTTTCTGAATCTTCATATTTTCACGCGAAAATCGCTCATTTACTTTTTAAAGTTAGTGATAATGATAATCGAGTGCTGAAATGTAGTTGCTTGAAGATTTAGCAGTGTTTTTTGCAATAGCAGGTTATGCGGTTTCTCCACAACCGAGGCTTTTGGAAAATTATTTAGCAAGGTTGTAAAAGAGTAGCTAAAAAAAGAAAAGTGTATCTTTCGTTGGCAAAAGGTTTGTCCTCTCTGCTGGCCATCACAATTTCTCCAAAATCCCGAATAAAAATTTTAGTGAAAGTTGGAAAGGTGAAACGAAGGGCTGTGATTTACAGCGATTATCTCAGCATTTCCTTGGCGAGTCACACTAGTAGATAATTCTGCATCGAACACCTTTTGAAGTATTTGTTTATCTTTATTGTACGAGGTCTTCGGGTCATATAAAAAATGACAAAATTTTTGCAGTCACCTAACATAAACAAGTTATTGCACATTTGTGAAAACCTGTAGGTAAAGGCTACTGCATGACAAAGGCGCAGAAGCGGTAATGGTTGAGCGGGCGCGAACGCGGCGCGCGCGTATTTTCACCGTTATAAGTCCTGCGCCTCAGACGCTCTGCGGTTAATAAAGCCGCGTTCACGCCCAAAGTTATTGCGCCTTCGTCACGCAGCAGCCTATAACTTTTGAGAATTTCGAGATCCTCCGCTCCCTCCTTGGTCCGCCACTGCAAGAAAGCTTTGCAGTTCAGCGCGGTGAAAAAGGCTCACCACGTCTTTTCCATACTTACAGTAGAACTGTAACCAAAATGAGTTTGTAAAAACTCATTAGCATTGAAAACTTGGCGCATGCTTTTCAGATTAGCACAGCTGGAGTGGTTACCATTGCTTTAGCCAATGTCTCTCTTCTCTCTAAACCTATGCGACGTAATTCCTCCTGCATACTATGTTTTTCCCACACCGCTTCTGGTTTGGGAGTATTGCTCATATTCCTAATTTGGGCTGTACCACTAACATTTAGGTATGCATAGCACACATTTAACAGAATGCGTCACAATTACTGTTTAAGACAGGAAGCTGCTGACGATCAAATAAACAGAATCATGGGGCAGCTAATTACTGTATTTTCGTATGCAACTCTTTATTGCCGCCTGGGTATATCAATAAATCGCTTGATAGCAATTGCTGTACCAATTCAAGCGGCCAAGTTGCTTACAAGACGGAACTCTTTTGTTTGCGTTCTTGTCGTCTGGTGTCTTGCATTTTGCCACGCCTCTCCTTATTTTTGGGGTAAGCACATTGCAAAATTGACAACCCTGTCGCTGGTATTTCTAGCATCTTGCTGTCATATATACTACGATTGCAACATGTGGAGGTGGATAACTGTTGGATCGCATTGGGGAAAAACTTTTATTTATGTTGACAAATGCGGCATAATTATCATGATCATCACATTTATGTTAGACGTTGTTGCTGTGGCGAAATTTAGGAAAGCCAACAAGGTATATAGCCACTTGCTTTTGGTCTAATGGTAATACTATCTATTCAAGGTGTTTTCCAACAACGCAAGCATGATGAGTAAGGCCCAGAGAAGAAGACGTCGCATGGAGATCAAATTTTTCAAACAGGTGAAGTGTTCTAATTGAAAAAATTAGCGTCGTTTATAATTTACCGTGTTCTCATCTACCATGAAGTGCTTGTGTATCACAACTATGCTATTCCAAAGGCCTCATTTATGAGATGTCGCTCCGCAGTACTTATGGTGGCGCGGTGTGATGCCTGTGGACTATATGTACTTTGGACCGATTCGAATAATTATTCGGTCATTCGAATAAATCATTCGAATGTGAATGATTCGATTCGAATATTCGAAAATCTGTGGTTCGAATATTATTCGATAGTCGAATATTCGAGGTCATCTCGATCATTATGTCCACCGAATACGGAAGTTTGATGAGTGTCGCATATTCGGATCGATATCATATCAATATCATACGAGGGATGTCCCAAAAGTAACTACACACTGTTTGATCGCTAATACCTTCTCACGAGTCTTTCGCCAACCTATGGATAACATCCTGTAGAGATGGCTGCAGCTTACATATAAATCAGAAAGCGATTCAACGAGCTTTTCTTGATGCGGCATCGGTAGGAACGTCCAGCATGTAGAGCAACCACGAAATAAGACATCTAAAAGAATTTCTTCAAAAGAGGATTAAAAAATTTGTGTAGCAGTGATTTGACGTGCTAATTTTACTATGCACAATTTCTAAAGCTTCTCAAATGTGCAATCCCGTTCTGAAAAACGTTGTGTGGAAAACGCATTAAGGCTGAGTGCAATTTTTTTGAGTGTCTCGTCTAATGTAAGATTTTTGGCCTTTTTGATTATCTTGTTTGGGCATCCTATGATAGAAACACCGATGAATCGCTCCATACTGTAAGTGTAAGTTGTAGTCAGCCCACAAATCCACACATTTTTGGGACCCCTGTATGTCAGTCCACAACTCTCAGTGAAAGGTATATATCATTTTTGAAGATCTAAAATCTTCGCAACCGTTAAAGGAGTACGCTTTTTCGGTTCTCAAGTCTCTTAATGTCACCACTAGCCGTTTTTGTCGTAGATTGTAACATAAAAAAGCATGTATTCTCAATAACAACTGAATGTTAGATGTTTTGGTCTTTTATAAGCAGTCATTTCATTGACATTAATTATTCAAACTGCATTCGAAAATCAAATGATATCGAGTAATGTTCGAAAACTGAATACTAATCCAAATTCGAATAACAAATGATATTTGATTCAAATATTATTCGACATCATCCGGAATACCGATTTTCGAATAATATTCGGTAGTCGAGTATTCGAAATTTCCCGTTTTTGAATGATATTCGATAGCCGAATATTCGAAAATTTCGATTTTCGGATATTATTCGACATTCGAATGTTCGAAAAAAATTTTCGCATTTCCTAATATACTGTGGACTCTGCTGCGCGTCAAAGCAAATCACATGCGACAAAGCGTCGTGTCAGCGATACAGCGCGTTCCCGGACCTGTGAAATAGCCATATGATTAGGTAAGTGTTAAACACATTACTCCTTTACAGGCACTCTGTCAAAATGGACTTTCTCTGATAGCTTTCATCAGCTACCACTTCATAAGCCCACTATTTGGTGATCGCTGGTTGGTATTTCTGACAAGCACGTTCGTCTGGCAGCTTCTGCATGCTTCCGATGGGTATGTCTTATAGATTTTTTACTCACTATCGGGGGTAACGACTACACGAGAGCTAGACTGACCTATGAAATACGAAAGGTCTAATGTATTGGTAGATGAGTTGCAATGTATTTATAAGCTTTATTTGTCAAGCGCCCATGGTATTTCAAAAAAAAAATGATCATTGTTACAGGATTGTCGTACTACTACTTCATTTTCAACCTGCTGTGTGGAGGACGATACTAGAAAAATTTAAATCCGCTTTGGCTCTGCTTTGACTTCGTGCAACCTGTTTTCTTTTTTTGCTTCAATTTCTAGTTTCTCTTCTACTATATCATGAACTGACAAATAAACATTCAGGCGTTAATGTTGAATGTTCGTGTAAATGGAAAAGTTTACGACAAGGCCCCTTCCATTATTCTTTCAATCAGCTTTGAAGAAAGAGTTTGTAGCTTTACTGTTTATTTACAACACCACAAGTAGATGTTCGTTAGGCTTTGCTTATTCATCTCACTCAAATGTCATTATTACCCCAGTGCAAGGCTTGCGCCCGACTTTAAGGCGTGCGATGCGGATGAGCGCATGATACATGCGACCAATCCATACCGCAAACATTGACAGTATGCGAGCGTACGCTATGTTTTCAGCGTACGTCGCATACACAAGTCTGATCCGAACCTAGGGTGGAGGATATTAGGTGCCGATAGGCTTCACGCGGATAGCTAGCATGAGGCAACCATGGTGAAGACGCGTGGTTTGTCGCAAATGTCCGCACGAGACCCCCCCCCCTTTCGGCGACTTAATGTTGTCTACCCTTGAACCTAATGTACGGTATATAAGAATAACAGACGTTTGCGCGTGTGGCGCCTGTCCCTACTGGGTTTATTCGCCTTGAACTCGTGTGTACAAGACACACGTTGCATGTACTAAGAAAATCGCAGGGGCAGGCGCTCCGCAAACTCGCGCTTTCTTTCAGACAATCGCCGGTGGCAGGCGGTCAGCAGAATTTTGGAGCCTGACCAAACCTTTAGCGAGCGGTACTTCCTTTGCTGTCGCATGTTCTGCCAGCGGGCAGCAATACAGAATTTTCTGCGAGGGGTCGTCAAATAATCTCGTTCAGCGAGTGCCGGCCAAATTTTCAGCGAGCGCTGTGACTCTTGTTACGCAGTTTCGGGTGTACGCCGAGCAAAGGTAAAAAGCTACATGATAGAGGTGTTGTCACCGATGGTTAGTACCCGAGTTTGGGGAACTTTCTCTCAGCTGAAGGTACCTACGGGCTGTGCGTTCTTCGCAAATGACCGTGCGGCCCTCAATAAATTTGCTTTTCGCGGAAAGTCCGCGAGAACGCGGCCACTGCGTCGCAATTAATCTATGGAAAAGCCGCAAATGTCCTCGGGAAATCGTCTAGAGTCTCGCCTACATTCTTTATAATATTGCAAGCGGACCACAAGAAATCAGCGAGTTTTTCCGGTGCCTGCTTGCCCATAAATCGCATGGCCGCCTGCCCCCGGCGATTATCTGAGCAGGGCTGCTCCTGAAAGAGTCGGTGGGATCGCGTCTATCGCGCGCGCCATACGTTGGATTTTTTTCCAGTAATCCTTCCCCTGTCATTGACATTTAGCAGTTGAAACAAATTAAAAATTGCGACGGTGGTCTCGTTCGTTTGTGGCATATGGCTTGTGGCATTCGTGTGTGCAATGTTGCAGCTTAAACGATTTTACGACTGGCAAAGCCTCATACCCTCACTCTCATGTGTGCCATCAGAGTGGAACATCAAGAACATCAGCATCAAGAAGATCGATACTGAGACAGAAATACTGTGGATGAATGAGTTGCGCAATTAGAACCCAATTTAATAAGAACGCTATGAGCGTAGAAAGGAGAAAGCGTCAGTGACTCATTTTTCAGACTCTTCAAAGTCAACATGAAACATGTCACAAACTTTCAAATTTTTTATGCCTCAACAACAGAATAAAGACCTGAGAACAGTAGAACATATAAAGTACATGTCATATGATCATTAGCAAGTGATCATGGTTTTTCTGGAGAAGGACTTTATCGTTGACTTAGAGCTCTGTTTGGTCCACGCCATACTTACGCATTACATAAGCTGTGCCCATAATATCGGCACTCCCTTTTGTTGCACATCTTCCTCTGCTAGAGTACCATAAAGGTCATGCATAAGCGTGTCTGCAGTGAGTCAACTATCTAGGGCACTAGATGTGCATTGACTCCTTTTGCCACACCTATCAACCACAGCATTCTATTAGGTTGTAAAGAAAGTTATTCCGGGGTACTAGCGAATTTTTTCAACTCGCTGTAACTTTGAGGTGATTGATCCCTTTTCAAAGCTACAAATTTCATTGCAAAGAAAATTTTATCTACAACATATATTTGTCCTGCCGGCTTTTCACCTCATAGCGGTCTACTAGCATGCGCAGAAGGGAGAAAGGTAGGCGAAAAGTGGCCTATTTGTGCAGGATTATCTCAGGCAGGATAATAGCTGAAGACCCCAGATGCTGCAGTTATATAGTCTGCTGGGGCTGTTATGAGGACCATTCTTGTCTTCAAAGGGCCTCCTGCAAAAAAATTTTTCCAGAAAGTTTGCCCGCAAAAATGCACTATTTTTTGCACAAGTTACTTTGAAGTTTTCTCGTTCTGGGCACAGGGCGGACCAATTTTTGATTACTGCGAACATTGTTGGCGTAATGTCTTACACATCTTTTGGACTCATCACCCAGGCGCGGCGATCGCTGCAGAAGCGACGTCAGCTGCAAAGAGTTGCAGTCAGAGGCAAGTTCGACAGCTTGTAATTTCTGTGCACAAAGCAAAACTTGAGTGCAGCTGCGGGTCAGAAGTTTACAGGTTCCTCAATCAGATCATTCATGATTTGGACGAAATTCTTCGAACTGCACAGAAAAATGGGCACAGGAAGAAAAATTGCAAAATTTTTATGTTTGGAAAGATTTCCTTTTGATGTGCAGGTCAAACACGTCTTGGCATCGATAGAAATCAGAAGCGGTATTGAAAATTTACGCTTTACTCTACCGAACACTATAAAACATTTGGTGTCAAAGTCCGACCGAGCGTCAAAAAAATGCGTTTGACAATGAAATTTTCAAAAGTGTCCCGGAGCTTTCTTTACAAACTAATACCACTGCCTTAATGCGGGCAAGTCATCCGAAACAATAAATCTGCTGCGGGCAGATCGTCCAAATCAATTAATCTGTCAGGCTAGTGCTGCCCACACATGCAGATATTCCTACCAAGGCGGCAACTACAAGCACGCTAACATGCGTTAGCCAGTCTTCGAACGGGTATTTTTATTGTAATGACGAAGCTAGCAGAGTTGATTACATGAAATCAAAAATAATCTTTACTCAACTGTCTGCTACATAAAATTGACTTTACAATTCGAAAATCCCTCCTTTGGAGCCAATATAAGCTCGGAAATGCTTGGGAACACTGTCCATGGTAGCACGGAGGTGTTCCACATCGCCTTCCTCCCACGCATTCTGAAGAGCACGTCGCAGAGACTTTGCGTGGATGGGTGCAGGCTTTGGCCTAAAGAACTGACCACACGCTGTAGTCGAGAGTATTCAGATCCGGTCAATACGGAGGCCATTCCGCAGGAGTAATGAGGTCCTTAACGGTGCTTTGGAGCCATGCTTGAACAACCTTCGTTTTGTGCGCAGGCGCGCACTTCTGCTGGGAGCACTAATCGCTCTCTGCAAATGGATATCGGTTTAGGCCAACAATTCCTTCCTCAAAATGTTATCCACATCCGTAGCAGTGTCCACCTTGATGCCCTGAGGCCCTAAAAATCAGCGGCATCTTGCCGTCGAAAGCGATCACCGGGCAACTCATCACGGAAGTTAGATGACGCTTTCCTTCCGCGTGTCAACCCTTGCTATTGGCTTCTTGATGCGATTAGGTGATGATTCTGTTGTTCTGACGATCAAAAACCTGCTTTAGGGTGAAAATTTTGACGTCAGAAAAGAGTATCGTTCGGTGGCGTGCCTTGGAGAGACGTTCAACAAGTCGATGGCATCTGCGCAGTCATTTCGGCTTCGTGCCCCCCCCCCCCCAAAAAAGCATGAATTTCCAGCATCCTGAAAACTTCATCCCAGGCCCAGTTCTACGACGTCGGGGGCTGTCCGGCCCGAAATGGACAGCTCTGAAACTGGCTTAATCAAGCTTTGCGAAGGGTTGCGACTGTGGCGCTGACAAACGATCTTCAGATTTTTGTGTGTGTTCGCAGTAGCCAATTTACCATTCCCACAACAGTCCTGGGGCTGTTCATATCCTGGAAACGATGCAAGTTGGAAAAGAGGCTGATCTGTCAAGTTCAAGGAACCCCAATCTGCTGCACAAAGGATTGGTCAGAAATCGAATTGGCCAATCCAAACAAGGTGTATACGATTAGATGCAGCATAAAACGCTGAATTCGAAGCTGTATTCCATATCACTTAGCGTCTATTTGGGTAAATTTATATGCCGTTATAGGCAGTTATTTTGCTAGAAAATCGTGCACGCAAAGCGCAAGTTTGGCAGTACAGAGCCATTTCGGCTTAGTGCATGGCTAAAACATGCAGCTAAGTTACTTTTGTTCTGAAGCTTAGAGGTGAGCTGAAAGTGCAACAGTGTGCTCAATTTCGCAATTTTTATGTACAATCTTTCCACAATGAAACTGCTCATAATTTCGTCCATAAAGGCGCTAAGAAGATATGGAATACAAATCGGAAATCAGCGTTGAATGCTGCATCGAATGATGGGCAGCTTGCTTGGATTGGCCACTTCGACTTCTGACCATTCCCTTGTTAGTCATACTCTCTCGTGCATCAGAAAGCATATCTACGATAGAAATAAGGCTCATAGTCCAGTTTTTGGAGGGCTTGTATACTTGAGAGTAGAAGCAAGGACATATAATTAGCATACAAAAATATGAGAAAATCCGAACATACAATGACATCAAAAATTGTTCAAAAACTTTCTCCCAGCCCTGTATATAGGCTAAGGCTGCGGTTATACTGA